ACAAAGGCATATTACACTCAACTTTACCAAATCATAGTATCATGAAAACTGAAATATTCCAAACGTGCTTTTTTCCTGTAGTTAAACTGTTAAGTTACGTTTCTTGAATTTTAAAAACAAGATGTTTCTATGCATGACAGTCATTCAATATTTATAATTAAATTCTGCTCATATGGTAATTAGAATTTTAAATAAAAGTTTACCTGTTCAGTATTCATGGTTTGTCCATCTATATTTGTTATGTGGTACTCTTTCATAATAAATTAAATATTTTCTGCATTAAACTGGTAAACTATAATAAGAAATAAAATTTATATAGATTACGAACAGTATTCAAGCTAAAATGCCATTTAAAAAATGCAAAATAGGTGCAGAGAAAGCATGGGCCTATTAACCATCAGGCGTGGCATCAGGTGCCAATGAATAGTTAATACCTCCTGATCGGTCACACCCGCTGTGTACTCCTTGTCATGATCGGAAAATAACGGAAGAAATCCGTCGACTATTTCATATGAAGATAATAGCCTAACAATTTTATATTGAAAAAAACGACCAAATAATTAGTATGATAAATGATGCTAATTAAAAGTTATATACTATTAGTAAAACTCATGCAGCAGTTTAAAGAAAATATACGTGTAATGAAACAAAGAACTTTCTGACAATTTGAAATCATAAGCATTTACCTTAATCAACAGCTTGAAATCTTTATACGCAACCATTACCCAAGATGAAGTCCAAGCTTTTAAATATCATTGACAGCTGCTTTCTCAACAAAAAAGGAACTCGTAAATTTACTTTCCTGGTCATTGGTTATTTGCAAAATTATTTTGTTAAAACACTTTATGATTGCAAACACAACTATTCTGGAGTTGACATCATAGAGATGTTTGAATTTCTTATTGACAATATCTATGTGGATTTTGGAGACCAGGTATTCCAACAACCTATTTGATTTCCCGTGGGTACATATTGCGCTCCATTATTAGTAGACCTATTTCTATATTCATATCAATCAGAATTTGTGCAAAATCTTATACGTGAAAAGAAGAAAACACTTGCTGTGGCCTTGAACCTTGAGATTAAGATACATCGTACCGTATTGTCAATTAACAATGGTAATTTCCATTTCTTCGTCGATATGATATAACCTGGTGAACTTGAGATAAAAGATACAACAGAGTCTGACACATCTAATTCATACTTGAATATTTTACTTGAAAAAGACGTTTATGGTAATCTTAGAACCAGGCTGATAAACGTGATGACTTTGAATTTTCTATCGTCAACTTCCCTTACTTATGCAGCAATACACCTTCATCGCCTGCATACGCAGTATATATATCTCAGTTGATTCGATACGCTTGCTCGACGTATGAAAAATATCTAAAACGAGGTGAATTATTGACAAGCAAGTTGATGAAGCAATAATATAAGTAGTGTCGTTTAAAGTCATAATTTCGTGAGTTCTATGGTCGATACAATGACGTTGTCTGCAAATACAATTTTTCAGTGTGTCAAAAGCTGACTAACGGTTTTTTTATACCAAATGTTAGTCCATTATTTATGCACTGAATTGACGACGGATTTTTTTTCCCGTTATTTCCTGATCATGACAAGGATTACACGGCGGGTGTGAACGGTCAGCAGGGGATGCTTACTCCTCCATGGCACCTGATTCCACCTGTAATGTTTTGGAGGACCGTGTTTGCTCTACTCCTATTTTGTAGTGTTTTATGGACTTTGATACTGAATACCCCTTAGCCTCCTTATCTATGTATTCTTAGAAAAACTGCTGATTTTACAATTACTTATGAATATATTCCTTTTGTTCAGAGCAAGGAATGGATTTTCCCATAAAACTGACCTTTGAACCTAAAGAGGTTGCTGATGTCGTGGCTGTCCTAAGAAGGATAGAGGATATCTATCCAGAGGAATCTGATGTCTCCTTGACTCATCAGTTACTGCAATCACTACACCTTGAGGAATTTAGAAGCAGGTTAAAATCCCTGAAGAGTAGAGTTATTCTCGTGGATCCCAGCAATCTTTGTGAGGATAGTCACGCTGGAGATGGTCGAGTTTGTATTTACAAAGTAGAAGTGAAACCTTCATACGGACAACTCACAGTATATGAGGTAATGTTCGTTGAAATTAAAAAATAAAAACAAACAAAAGATAAACTTGTTGCATTAAATAAGATGTAAATTAGAAATCTGGTATTACATTTCTTTTTTTTTTAATTTCTTTTGAATCTAATCATTATATCCTTTCAAACTCATTTCAATGATTTTTTTTATTGCAGCCAACAGTTTCCTTGGATCAATTTACAAACATACATCATTTGCCAAAATCGTTTCTTGTAACTAGCAATTTTGAACCTGTAATAGACACTAAATTTGCTGTTGACGAAAAATACCACTACATGCTTGAGGAAAACAAAGTTAGAATATTCCACGAATCGGATCCAGACAAGAAACTCCTTCTTCTCTGTACAAAGTATACGATAGATTCCTTCAAAGATCGGGTTGAAAAACTTATTAATAGCATACCAATGTACGAGCTTCATCAAATCGTGAACAGAGCTGCAGGTATTGCGTTTTCAGAAAAAGAAATACAAAAAGGCATTCAAGACATATACATTGTACATGAGGGACACTATATTGGATCTGTTTATTCTGGGAACTATTTCTGTCGCTTGCCATTCAAAATTGGACGGATTAGAGAAGAATTAATAACTGAAACACTTAATCATGTTGGAAAGCAGTTTACAGATATGCTTTTGATTGGTATTTTGAAGAACATTCAAAATACGCTTGAAGCAGAGTTTTCGCACATGGTTTGTACAATTAACATAAGGGATAATTCCCTAATGAACCCACAAGGTATTTTAATATTTGCTGGTCTTGTTAGTTTTGTTGCACGAGTTTTGAACCCAGTGCTTGGAATTATAGTTTCCGTTTTTACGATTTTGCCAGCAGTGTTGACTTTTTTTCAGCCCGTGAATGTCAACTCGGTGGAATGGCGGAACAAAGTAGCGAATGAAATATATATGAATATATCAGCAAAAAAATCTGAGATTATGACTGATGTATTCAGAAAATTAGAATCAATTTGTGATCAAACTAAGAAAGAACTGAGGGAAATTGGTGTAAAACTGGCAAAAGCTAGCAGAAGGATTTCTTTGGTAGATTAAAAAAATCGTAACTTTTGTATCCTACAATGTAAGCCAATAATCATGATAATGTATACAGGGAAATTTTCGCCCCTTTCGCCCTCTTCCTGATTGGGCGAATTTAAAACGGTGCAAATTCAACTTACACAGCAGTTTTTTAAACAAAATTATGACTGGGCGAATTTAAAACGGGGCAAAATTGTTTGCAAGTGCGAAAATAACACGAGGCCAAAATAACCCGGTATACAGTACTTGACCACAAACTATAAAGTATTTATGTTGTACTCTGGAGCTCCTTTTTATGAAATAAAATCAGTGAAGATAACGAACAATACTCAAGCTCATAATTCCAATAAATTCCAACAAATTATTGCGGAGCAGACACAGGCTTACAAAACATCCGAGGTAGGATCAGGTACTATAGAGGAGCGAGTATCCTTTTTATCTTTTTATATACTTTAAAATTCAGATCTATGGAAAAAATTCATTCCAACCATTGTTTGTTATCTTCACCCTGTCATCTCAAAGATTTTAGAAATTGTTTATTGCGTGGACTATTTATAGCTTTGTTTATATATATAAAATCTAATATTTATAGCTTATTTTTATATATCACATCTAATATAAGTGTATTCCTCTATATAATTTCCTTAATACATTGTATACATACAAGACAGCATATACTGTATACTTATTTATATAATATGTATGTACAAATTAGAAATTTGAAATGCTTTAATGAATGATACGGAACATGATTGAATTTTGTTTTATTTTTAAAAACTCCAAACATCTTTTAGAAAACTCAAACTCACCAAGTCAACGGCATCAAAACATGCACAGGGACTTGCTCCCGGCCTGTAATAATTATTTATTTAAAAAATCATATACCGTATATACGTAATAATAAAGTGTAGTTTTATTATTACGGTATATGATTTTCTAAATAAATAATTATTACAGGCCGGGGGCAAGTCCCTGTGAAACATGCGACATTTTTAGGCGCTACATATTTACATAAAAACGATGTTTAGCAATATTATTATTCAAACATTCTTATTCGGAAAACTTATATTATACCATCAGTAAAAACAATAGCTGCAGGGTCCGTCTGGTAACCACTTACCATCCCGTCCTTAACAACCTCCAAGGTATCCATAAACGAGCCTGCCGATTCTCCATTCAACCAAACGAATGGCAGAGGTCTTTTAATAGGGAGCCTCTATTGCCTGCATACATAGGCTCGAGGAATCTAAAGGACATGGTAGTAAAGAACCAGATTGGATAATGCATAACTTAACAAAGGGTTTAAAACTAGATGTCTTCTTTATACACACGGCTCTGACAAAGACAGTCTTAACAGCCCAGTTACGGACTTCAGCTACAGAATTTTAGAAAATTTGTCCTTCGAAATAGAGAACTGTGTATATTGTGTATATTTCATCAGTTGCAAAGTTTGTATCAAACAGTATATCGAGGAAACGGGAGATATCCTCAAGAGAATCAATAATCACCATTCGATAATTAGGACCAAATAACTCAATGAATTGGAGAAGGTTACAACCTTGACGGTCACATATGGGAGGACCTGGCAGTTTGTTTTGAACACATTTTTGTATATAAAGGGATCTAAAGTACCTGCATCTGATTAACGTCATTTTATAAATATATATGTTGGTGTACAGAACTTTTTCATTGATATTTTGGTAAAGAAAGAAGCTTGGTAGAATATTTTATAGAACCCACTGTATTCCTTGGGTTTATCTTAAGTATATACTGAATAACACCACTGATGTTGTCATATGAGGTGGAGAGAAAAAACAGTATCAAGTTTGCAAACAAAAACAGTTTATATATTTTGTGTTATATACAGAGTTTCCAAGCTTTGAATATAAAAAAAATATATACCATGAAACATTTTATGAAAAAAAGGAGTGATCGAAGTCAGGCATTCACCAATAAATTAGTGATTTTCCATAAGGAAAACATATGAGGCTATCAATTTCTGTACAAAGAGTAGTAGTAATTTTCTTTTTTTCATTAAAAAGGTTAAATCATCAAAACAAAGTGTTTCTTCCATATATATACTATCAGAAATTCTCATACTTTTTCTCAAAAGAAAAAAAATATAAGTTAATAAGTACTTTCTGTTTATACCATATACATTTGATCAGCTTTGGTATATATGAACAGCAGCTATAAAAATAGCAAAATCAACAAAATTCTATTACATAAACAAACTACTTATCACTGTACTGTAAATAAACTTAATTTACAAGAATATTATAATTACATCCTCTTTGGCAAAATCCATAAAATCGAAAATGACAGTGTTAGTTAGAAATTCATCTTCATCTATAATTCGAAATTTGACTAAATGTGCTCAAATTAAGACTTAAATTTTAAAAGAGCAAAAAATAAAACCTTAGAAAAATAATTACCATTTGAACAGAAGTGTAATACTTATAACATTGCACAAAATGTATTTAGTAGTTTATATTGCATAAATTATCACAAAGTCTCACAACACATATTCTGATCTCCTAGCTGACAGAATATAAATTTACAAACATTGTATTTAAGACAACAAATAATGAAAATACTGTATAATGAATTCTTTTACATGAATGAAAACACCTACATTATAAAAATAAATTGTTAAGAAAATATAGATGAGGATTAAATTATTGTAAACTTGTACTATTTTTTTTTTTTAATATTAAAATGCACATGAATTAGTTACAGATATTTTTGACTTGTGAGGTGGGAATATCCCATTCACATGTATATATAATTTGGTGACCCTAGACCTTGCCCTTAATTAAATAAACATAAAATTAGTACGATACACAATTTTGGGGGCTAAATTCACCAAAACTACAAAACAACTGAATTAGATACATTCAAATCTGTCTTACTGGTCCATTGTTTTTATCAACTTCTTCATTGATCTCTTATATATAAAGGTTTGACTGTACATGCCTGATTTTAACAACTACACAATATGACTTCTTTACAAAAGTAAAAAAAAATATATTTACAAACACGCTAGGTCTAAAAAAAAAACTGGTATTTGTACTCTAAAAATCAATTTTTCGTTGTCAGTTTTATTTTACACAGTTGGGTAAAAATGTGTTAACAACTGCAAAAAAATATTGCAAAATTGAAACTGAGAGATTCTTTTCATGATTACATGTATGATGTATGTAAAGCTTATTCATATAGATTTGGTGGTCAAATAAAGGTAACACACTAAACAACACAGGATGGAATAAAAATTCAGATCTTGGTAGGCAAATACAATCAGATCTGTCAAACTAATATATTCAATGCAGATTACAATTCGATACAAAATAATAAGCAACACGGTCACAAATTTTTTTTCTATAGCTACCATTGTCATGTTTATGATCAGATTATCAAATGGTCAGCATTAGAAAAGTACTGTTGTTGAAACAAATGAATAAAAACAAAACCAAAAAATGTCGCACACAAAATATCATTGCAGTGAAAAAATACTTCAATTCTTGGACCTTATGGCAGACATTTTTTTTTCAAAAGTTAATAACAAAGAAAGATATACGAAAAACGTAATAATAAATCTGTGTCACTAAAAGAATTCTTTGCCAGTTTACTATTACAATGATTTACTCTGAATCATCAAGCAGTGGGATTCTTTCCAGCGAAGTTTTCCTTGTCCTCTGATTTTCCTTTGGTTCGCTGTCGTCGGTTACGAATGGCTCGGACGATACCAGACACAACCAGAGCAACCCAGACCAGCCAGCACAACCAGGCAGCCACCTGTAAGTAATATAGATTTTATAAAGGGAAAAATTAAAAAGCATTTAAACTTTTATAATGACTATTTATTGGTGAGATACTGTAAACCAACTTTTATTCGTGTGCGAGAAATTTTCGCGAGGTTCGCGAGAGCCTCGTAATCGCGAATATTTCTCGCCGTGAACCGGTTTTGAAAGTCTCTGTTGTATTAACAACAGATTCAAAAAAGTTTTATCGCGAAAATTAATCGTCGCGAACAATTTACCCCCGGTAAATCGCGAAATAAAGTCGTCGCGAATAAAAGTTGATTTACAGTATTTATTTTAATCTTGCAAAAAATAAGGTCTCATGGAAATTTACTGATAACAACATTTGTATCTACATGAAAAATTAAGAGTCACCATTTGTAAAGGATGTACACATGTTGAATCCTTTCATTTTGTAAAAAATTATTCATCAAATTATAAATCAGATCAAAAGCAAGCTAAGAATGTTATCAAGCAATTTTTGTACATGTAATAAGGAGAAAAAAATGTAATTTTGTACAATTTTACCTCTGCAACGTGGAAGAGTTTAAAAAAACTCCCCGAATCATATTCTTTTTCATCTTCTGGTCCACTGCATGCTGATCTCACATGCTTGTTTTCTGCTGTGGCACAACTTAAAATTCACAAGAAATTAATGAAAAAATAAACATTCAGAATTAAAGCTGAGTCTCACTTTTCTAAATATTTATAATCTGAACAGTTTACTTTCCAGTCAGAAGTTGTGGAACACAAAATTTACAGCCAAATACCTTACTATCGAGATTTCCTTGATATGAATTACATAATTTTCAACTCTTTTTTTTATTACTGACAAGAGTTACCTGTCTTGTTTTCAGATTTCTCTGTACGACTGACACAAGAGGCCTGTTCAATAGAGTGAACATTCGCAAGCACTCATCAAAATTTCTTATATCGCCAATAGAAATGTTCGTAAACCCTCGCGCTGTTGAATGGGCCTTTGTTGTGATACATTACCTGTCTTCTGTCGAGATTTCTATGTGTGACTGACAAGAGTTACCTGTCTTGTTTAGAGATTTCTCGGTACGACTGACATGTGTTGTCGAAGCCGACACTTATCATACAGGCCACCACCATCATCACTCCTGCAACAAGGGAGTTCAGCAGAATAAACGGCATCACCCACATCTGCGACCTGAAAACATAATGTCAAATCGATCAGCCATAACTACACAATGTGAAGCTTGTGTAAAGTGTCTAGATTTTACGGGGTGTTTTTGAAAAGAAATTACTTGATTCTGTTTGATTTCTTCGAAGGACTTAATAAATACTTTTGTAATAAGTGCATGTATATAATCATGAAATGCATCTTTATCACATTTCATGGAAGAAATCATTTTAATTTGAAACTAAAACTGTAGTGTATTTGACTCAATTTTAATTAAAACAACTCACCCAACAGTGGGGTCCTGAGTTGACTTGTAAACAGCATACACATTATAACATGTCTGTGCTAAGCCGTAAAATATGCACGCGAACACAGCAAAGTAGATAGGGAAGTTACAGTTTCCCGAGTCACCGTACTTCACACATTCCTCTTTATCATATGAGGCATACAGAAAACAGTATCCACCATTGTTCATCTGAAAAAAAAAGAAAGCAGATCAAAGCATCTTTAATTAAAAATTTATAATGCTGTACAGAATAAAATGCTTGACAGAAATAATTATTATATTTAGTTAGCAGGATTACTTTTATCAAGAGACATAGATGTAGAGAATTTTACATTTATCTTCTTATATTAATGAAATTGATGAATACATGTAATTTAACATTTTTATTGCCTCTGGATTATGTTTGTAAAAATAAGTAAGAATTCCTTTAAAACCAATGCCCATTTTGCAAAACTAAGCTATGCAGCTTTTTACATGTTTTAAGACTAGCTGTGATTTTCGTTTTCATTACTGCCATCCTGTTAGACCTACACATGGGACCTTTAAGGTTAAACTTAACCACAAAAGATAAGGCTCTCAAGTAATAAATAACAGTTGACACCTTGTAGCAAGTAAGATTGTACATTCTATCACTACAATGGTATTTTATGAATCATATCATTTTAACTTTAACCGGAATGGACCATAAAATATAACATATCTATTGAGGAAGACCTCTAATACTAACTAAAGTTCACTGTTGCATTTATCAGCACAGAATGAGATCATATGTCACATTAAATAGTTAAAAATAAAGTTTTATCCACCTGATTTAATAATTGTCGATGAGGTGTTCTTAATAATAGTGAGCGTCGCAAAGTGATACTTGTCACTGCAAACTCTAACAACAACGCCAAGGCAAAAAGAGAATTCTAACTATTACACATTTATTCAATAGAAATTTTTCTACAGTAATTTGGACCCATAATGCATTGCTTCGTACACAAAAGCTAAATAAATGTTCTCACAACAAAGTAAAACAAATAATAAACTTGCCTTTATTTTATTGAATTTATTGCAGAAAAATAGTATATAAAATGACCCTTTATTAAAATCAGACCTGTTTAGACTTCGGTTTGGTAAAACAACATGCAAATGACTTCATAATCTTACAGTTACATAATTAAGCTCGATCTTACTGAAAATTGCTCTCAACCTAATGGTTGCACTGTCAAAATATTATACACAAATATGTGATAGTCTAGAAAACAGAGAGCAAAAGATGCCCTTTGCTTTGTGCACAAGATGATAAACAATAAGTTTGACATGTTTTAGTAAACAGGTTCCATGTTCGTTCGCCCTAAAAATTGTTCGCCCGATATCCCGTTCGCCCAATTTCTTGTTCGCCCAGAGTTCGTTCGCCCAATTTCTCGTTCGCACAGGGTCCGTTCGCCCAAATTTTATGTAGAATATAATATAATGAATTTCTTCCTACATTTTTGGTACATTCGAAATAAAACAGACCGTCAGACGATTATGCATATTGTCACATAGGGTCATACTTAATTGTTGTCAAAACATAGCCCAATATTCGTAAAAACAACACGGGTGTATCCCCCCAATTAACATTGATATTAGTCATCTAATTATTTATAGTGCAAACACTAAGTCATTAATAAATACATTAGAATCAAATCAAAAATTACTCAAGACTAAATAAACATTATTCCTGGCACAATAATTTGAGCAAAAATAACCCAAGTTCGTAAAGGAAATAAAAATATATGTTAATTTTTATTTCAAATAAGTTAATATATAATATATATATATAAGTATTGGGCGAAACTTTTATAAGGCGAACAGGATTTTGGGCGAGAAGTTTTTGGGCGAACGGACCCTGCGCGAACGGACTCCCGCGAACAGGTAGATCGGGCGAACGAACCCGTTACCTAGTAAACATGGTAAAGATGCGCTGTAATTATCACTTTTATTTTCAAAGACAGGTAAAAGTAGACAGAAATAGTTACTTCAAGTAGCTTTAAATACCTAGGTAGTTTTTAAGATCTACGTAGGTAGAAAAAGTCATTGAACCTGATCTGACTGTAGCCTGTACAACCACTGGAATTCCCCCAAAGTGGCCAACCTGTCAACTTACTTCCTTGCCAAGTCTATATTTTTTCTGTCTATAAACTGACTGGATATAAAGAATGCGAGAAGATTATGACTCTTACATTAACAACACCGATTGGTATTGACACTGCAAAGCCACCAACAAACACAGCGATGTAAAACACTGTGTTGACAACAAGCTGAACGTCTGCCACCGCCATTTTGAATTTCTGTTTGCTATGGTCAACTCGTTCGTAAAGTCATTCGTTTGGAGATCTCAATCACACAATATTATCATAAGAATAATTTTATGAATTATGTTATTTACGATACAGATTATTTGTAAACTTTTTTTTTTTTACAATTTTTACGACAAAAGTTCCGTATTTGACAGTTTTACGGTGGCTCATCAGGGAAATATTTATTTGAAGAATGATGAGTAGGCCTACATATTGTAATTAACTTTCAATTTTCAAGCAAATTAATAAAATAAATGGAGATAACGAACAAGCCCAAAACCGCATTTCACAATACAATATAAGAGCAAAGCTAGACCTCCAAAAAATCAGAGGCGCGATCAGATGCTTTGGAGGAGTGAGCGTCCCCTGCTGACCTGTAACGCCAGGCCGTCGAGTGCCCCTTTCCATCGTCAATTCAGAATATAAATAATTGTCTAAGGCTGTTTAAAATTAAAACTACGTTTAACGTCACCCGCGCGCGTAGGTTTATGAGAAATTCGTCTTTGAAAAAAACAAACAATTCGGAATTCCGTATGTCTGTTCCGGTTTGGTTCTACAATTAGCGACTGAATTCTGCTTCCCGTAGTGACAGAAAATGTGCTTTGATAAAGGCAGTTGGTGTCTTATTAAAGAAAACTAGTGAATTAAAGAGTTTGGGACCATAAATGTAAGTAAAAAATAGATGATTTTATGATTGAAGTTAATGACAAAGTCTAGTTTGTTGATTTTTTTGTCAGTCTTCGAATCACATGTTCAAACTGACAGTGACAGACTCTCAGTTCGTGATTCTATTGGCTGAACTTTTCATTGTATTTTGGAGAGAATCGAAAAACTTTTTTAGCGAGTGGAAAGTGTGTCAAAAAACCAAGATCTATATACAGTGAAAAGCATCATTTAAATCTTATTGGACATGTTTCATATTAAAAATATTTCTGTAAAAATCGAAAGGAACAGTAATGAGTAAAGTAATTGATTTCTTCATAATTCATGTACCTACAAATAGCTACAATTTTTGGAAAAGATAATACTTGTCTTAACCATTTGAGCAGGGAGAAGCTCACCGAAGATAGGGCCTTTCAAGTGAAGGAGAGTAAGGAAAGAAGTTGGGGTATTCCAAGACGTGAAGAATCCTGTCCTTAGTGTGGAATTCAAGGTATTAAAAATAATCTAACAGCTATCATTATGGTCCAGATATTAGTATTCACACTTTCAAAACTTAATGCTAGTAGATCTTGTACTAAGAAAAAAAACGATATAATTCAATTTGAGATATTTCAACATGATTAGTTTTAAATATTGTCATCTATAATTTTAATTGTAGATATTGATCAACTATTCCCATAAGAAGAAGCATTTGCCTCCAGGGTACCATGGACGTGTGGCAATATAAATCTAAAGGACAATTGAGGCCTAGTTAAAAGTCACTTTCCTGCACATTCAGTCTTAGAATACATTGTTTGCTAACAATAGGACTCAAACTAATTTACATACTAAGAAAAAAATCTGCTATGGAAATTAATCTTAGGTGTCATATCAATTAAATGCTCTTTATAACTTAATTGTAATGTTTTTAATGTAGTGAATAGGTTAGTTTGAATAAATTCACAAATGTTTGAAAATTTTGTTTGTTTATTTTTTTCCTCCCTCCCTCGTAGGTTTTGAACTTTAGATGTGACGTTAAACGTAGAATTAACTTTGAACAGCCTAACAATCAGTATTAAAAAATTCAGCCAGCATTTGTTTAATGATATATGACGTTTCACAAGGTCAGTTGTATCAACCATAGAATTAACTTTAATACGAAATGAAGATTTTTAACGAGTCTGATGATATTCTTGTTTCATCAACTTGTTTTTCAATAATTTACCTCGTTTTAGAAATCATACATACATAGAGCATGCTCTTGCATATCGAATAAACTGAGAGATTTATTAAATATGTATGCAGGTGATGAGGGTTACTATATTGCTGCATTAGTAACTGAGATAAGTTGACGATTGAAAAGTTAAAGTCATCACGTATACACTGTATATATCAGAAAGCTTGTATGATAGATTTCCATTAACGTCCTTTTTCAAGTAAAACTATCGAAAAATGAAACAGATGTGTCAGCTAGACTCTCTTATCTGAAGCACAGGGGTATATATCCTACTGGCATATCGAATATGGAATATGGAATATGGCACTCGAATGGAAAGAATTAAGCATTGTCAGGCGTCGGAACCGGGGGGGCTAGGGGGCGCTTAGCCCCCTCACTTTTTTTCCAAGTATAGACATTGAACATATCTTCGTAAGTTTAGCCCCCCCACTTTCCACAGATATGTCTTAGTATAGGTTAAAATTGGGTATTGGGTAAAGTGGTGGTGTTTGGAAAAAAATTTTTGTTACTGTAGTTCGAACCTACCCCCCCCCCCTCCCCCCCTCCCCACGAAATAGGATTTTCGTGTTTGGGAAATAGACATTTCCTTTTTTTTTTTTTTTTTGCTTGTCAGGTTTTTTTGGAGGTAGAAAATTTTTTTTTTTACACTTAGCGCCCCCACTTTTAATTTGCTTCCGACGCCAATGATTCTACATTACGTCGAAGATATATCTAAATGTCGAATTAAAGGTCATTTCAAGTGTCTTCTTTTTTCACGTACACAGTTTAAAATTTTAAACAAATTTTGATTCATTTGAATACAACAATAGATCTGCTTATAATGAGATATTGAGGTGCAATTCATAGACATACCCATGGGAATTCCATTAGATTGTTGGAAGACCAGGTCTCCAAAGACCACATAAATATTGTCAATCAGAAAGACAAGCATTTTTTTTTTAATGTCAGCATCAGAGTACTTGTATTTGCCCCTCGATCCTATTTAACTGTTTGATCCTGGCACATCGGGTTTCCCAGAACAAAACATGGATCGACTTTGCCATTACAATCATAAGGAAGGCGGAATTATTAAGTGAGCTAAGTGCTCACAGTACCTCTGGTTTATCTTTTATTTTTTGTCAAGTGCTTTACCAAAAGACCTATCAGGTTACCGGAGATTGAGCCCGTCTACGAATGCTACATATGATAATGATCTCGAACTCATTATAACGACCGCAGAATGAAATATATGGAGATAAAGAACAGTTTTCAAGCTAATAAGTCCATTAAACAATACAAAATTGGAGCAAAGCAAAACGTAAATTAAAACATTAGAGGTGGAATCACGTGCCATGGGAGAGTGAGCATCCCCTACCGATAGGTCACATCTGCCTTGTGCTCCTTGTCAGGTTCGAGAAATAACGGAAAAATCCTTGCAAAATAAAACATCAAAACACAACTGGTATTAAGAAATAAGCACTGCCTCTCAAATCTCGGGTTTACATACAAAATATATTGTGTTTCTATTTTAAGATTTTTTTTATCATTTCTAACCAAAAAAAAAAAATATATTAATTTGTGCAATTGGCAAAATATGTAAAGATTATGAGATATAAAAAAAACGAGAAGTTTCCCTTCCCTTTATATGTGTAAATGCAAAAACATAACATTGAAAAAAAATCTACAGAAATACTTTACAAACATAAAATTTTAAGATATTTTAAAATGAATGCACTTGAAAATTCATTCACATCAGGAATTTTATAAAATGTTAGATGTCTTCAGCTGTATATAATATACACAATGAGTATCTCACAGTATGCCATCGATGAATGGTTACAAATGAAAATTATGTCTGATGACGTTGTATTACGTAGTATTATGACGTGGTTTCTTCGCTATGCCGTTGGTTCTATGCTGGCTATATTTGTCATATCTGATGGCGCACTTGCTTGTGTCCTCAGACGTCTATTGAGAGCAAACCGGACTATTCCAGAAATAACCAGTGCTAACCAGCCAAGGGTACAAATCCATGAGGCAGTCTGTGAAACGAGAGTATGAAATATATGGAGATAACGAACGATATATAACCTCAAAAGTCCATTAAACAAAACAAATAGGAGCAGAGCAAACACGGACCTCTAAAACATCAGAGGTGGGATCAGGTGCCATGGAGGAGTGAGAATCCCCTGCTGACCGGTCACACCCGCTGTGTGCTTCTTGCCATGTTCGGGAAATAACGGAAAAATCCATTGTCAAATCAGTGTGTAAATAATGGTCCAACAATTGGTTTGAAAAACGTCAGTCAGCAATCGGCTCATTGATAATTGTATATATTGCTGACAAGGTCTTTGTAACGACCACTGATATTCTTGTTTCACAACCTTGTTTGACAACAATTTACCTCCTTTTACCTGTGTAACATTTATATAGGCGTAGAACTTACCTGTGTAACATTTATATAGGTGTAGAACTTACCTGTGTAACATTTATATTGGTGTAGAACTTACCTGTGTAACATTTATACAGGTGTAAAACTTACCCGTGTAACATTTATACAGGTGTAGACCGTACCTGTGTTACGTTTATATAGGTGTAGAAATGTCCTGTAGAGCTGATCTTTTTTGTTGACTGGTTCACCAGTTTCTGCTTCTCTGCCTTTACACAACTTTAAAGAAATATAAAACAATATATTATCTCTAAAATATTTTAAAATCGAAAATATATACACATAATTTTCATATATACTATTTGTTTTAATTTTTGTTTTCTAAAAAGTAGTAAGTTATTGGCAAATATGTTGATATTACAATAATATTAGCAGTTTAAAGTCATCATTTCCTAATAAGGTTCTATGGTCGAAAAAATAATGTTGTCATCGAACACAATCTACCATTAAGTCAAATAGTCACTGAAGTTTTTCATACTGTACTAATTGTGAGGTCATTTTTCCTTGGATTCTTCCTGAATTACCTTGGATTTTCCCTTTAATTCCCGATCATGATAAGAAGCAAACGGCGGGTGTTACCGGTCGGCAGGGGATGCTCACTCCTCAATGGCACCTGATCCAATCTCTGATGTTTTAGAGATACCCTATTTGCAATGCTCCCGATTTGTATTGTTTAATGGACTTTTGAGCTTGAATATAGTTCGTTATCTTTACAAATATCATGAATTATT